GTGTGTGTGTGTGAGAGAGAGAGAGTGTGTGTGTGTGTGTGTGTGTGTGTGTGTGTGTGTGTCTGTCTGACTCTCTCTGTCTGTCTGACTCAGGATCAGTTCGCTGAGGTGTTAGACAGCATGTTCGAGGTGCTGGTCAAACCAAACGAGTGCATCATCAATCAGGATGACGACGGTGATCATTTCTACGTCATTGAGAGGTGAGAGTGAAGCGTCTGCATCCGTCTGACATGACGAGCGGCTGATGAACCCGTCTCTGTCTGTCTTTCTGTCTGTCTGTCTGCAGGGGCGTGTTTGATATCGTGATTCAGAAGGATGGCATGAGCCGCTGTGTGGGTCACTATGATAATAAAGGCAGCTTTGGTGAGCTGGCTCTCATGTACAACACGCCGCGCGCCGCCACCATCAGGGCCACTCAGGAGGGGGCGCTGTGGGCGCTGGTGAGAATCCCATCATGCACTGCACTCGTCTCATTATTAATAGTGTTTAATGGAACCCATCAAAAAGTTTTCACATTTCACTTTAATCGCTATAGTCGTAATAGATTTAGTTTAATTGTGCAGGGCCATTTTTGTTAGGAAGCTTGTTTCTGCCACAGAACTTAAAAATTAATTTGCTGAATTGTGAGAGATCCCATACAGAAAAAAAACATGTTTCAAAATATATTTCTGTAAATATGTTTTCTACAAATATATATTTTTTGGCAATAGTTTGTAACACATTTTAATAATATACATTTTAAAATTAATTTCACTTTATTTTTTGAAAGCATTAAAATGCTTATTTTGCTCTAAATATTCAAATCCAAGAAAATACATTCACATATTTCTAATTTGAGAGAAAACTATATTTGTTGTGTAAACATATAACCCAAAATAAATAAATAAATAATAATAAACAATATAATAGTATATATAAAATTAGATTATATTATTAAATCATTAGAAATATATTGTGATGATGATGTGTTGTTATGGTCTTCAGGACAAAGCCACTTTCCACAGACTCATCGTGAAAAATAACGCAAAGAAGAGGAAGATGTACGAGAGTTTCATCGAGAGCGTGCCACTGCTGAAGTCACTGCAGGTGCGTCGAGTCGCGTGTTTTCTGTCAGTTCAGTTTTCAATTCATGGTACTTCATTGGCTTGATTGTTTACAACAAAAATAAGTAATGACTAGAACGAAATATACAATATAATAATAAATAATAACAATGCAAATAGTATTAAAATAAGGTGCTGAATAAAAATAAGATAAGAAATTCTGAATATGAAATGACTTAAAAAATTAAATGATGCTCTAAATATGAACTAAAAGTGTCAGTAGGTGGCGGCAAGTGACTGTTTTAATGATTGAGTCATTGAATTATTCATTCAACTGATTTGTTCAAATACGTTGATTCTTGTAACATGTTATTTTATCCATAATTAATCACATTAAATCAACAGCCCTAGTTATTATGTCTCTCTGTGTGTCAGTTATCGGAGCGCATGAAGATCGTTGACGTGGTTGGGATGAAGACGTTCAGCGACGGCGAGCAGATCATACGGCAGGTGTGTTTCGTTGATCTCCTTGTGACGTCATCATCGTTCATCTCTGATCAGTGTAACTGTGTTTGTTGTCAGGGCGATTCGGCCGACTGCTTCTACGTCGTGGAGTCTGGAGAAGTCAGGATCATGATCAGAAGCAAAGTAAGACTCTGTCGCTCATGTCGCTTGTTTAACGTGAGTCTGTTGCGCGTGTTTAGCGTGAGTCTGTTGCGCGTGTTTAGCGTGAGTCTGTTGCGCGTGTTTAGCGTGAGTCTGTTGCGCGTGCTTAGCGTGAGTCTGTTGCGCGTGTTTAGCGTGAGTCTGTTGCGCGTGCTTAGCGTGAGTCTGTTGCGCGTGTTTAGCGTGAGTCTGTTGCGTGTGTTTAGCGTGTCTGTTGCGTGTGTTTAAGATGGGAAGATAGTGGG